AGGAAGGCCAGGGCACACGTGTGCCTCTCAAAACCCAGATAAGACAAGCTCCAGCCTGGCATCAGCAAGCGGAAGGGCTGAGAGCAGCCACCCCAACTTCTCCTGTGAGCCAGCGTTGCGAAACAGAGCGTGGATGGCTCGGGGAGCCAGCGTGGGTGCCCACATGTGGGCGGGGTGGGGCGGCTGCACAGAACAGCCCAGGGGGAATATTCACTGGAAATGGCTTTTTTTTTTTCCCCTCCTCTAGTAAGGAATTTTCCAAACACTTCCCCTGGAGCAGTTTGACACTTGAGCTCAAACTGTCTGCAGGGTTGAAAGAGAGGAGCTGAAGCTGGTGGCTGGTAACAGAGTGTGCCAGCAGCGATGCCAGCGGGGCCCCGGGACACACGGTCAAGTGAGGGTGGCCAGGGAGAGCGATGCCTCCTGGTACCACCACACTGAGGTTTTAAGGATGGTTTGCCTGCAGCCATTCAGCCCCGTGGGCTTTGTTCTTCTCCTCCTAAGGCAGCCTGGTGCCCAAAGGAACCACGGTGCCTGGGCAGAGGCACTGGCTTCCCTGGCACAGGCACCTGCCAGTGCTGGGCACTGCCTGGCATCTTGCTCGGGTTATAGTTGGAAATACATGTAGGAAAGGATTACCTGAGCCTTCGCAGGAGGGATCTCCTCCAACCCCTTGCCAAGACTGGCCACGCACTGAGCTCGGCTGAGCCGGATCCAGACAAGTGTATTGTCTTGGTGAAAGTAATTTGGATCTTGGATTCCCTGCTTAGCACCTCTTTTTCCCTGGAATGGCTGGGGAGAAGAGGAAAATACATGATAAATGAGGGGACTGCAATAGCAGCAGCATGTCCAAGGGAGTTTTCAGAGGGAAATGAAACAGAAAGCAAAGCAGCAGCATCGTCAGGACTTCCCCTATGCCTTAATTTAGCGTGAAAAACCCCTTCTGTCTTGTCTGTTAACGGACAAATTGATGCTGTGTCTCCTCCTCCTCCCATTCAGGACACAGTTTTACTGAAGGCATAGCAGCTCTGGGCTTCAGACAGGCACCCTCCTGTGCCACCAGCACCTTGCACATCTCCTGGGCCAGGGTCCATCCTGGAACATAGCTGCTGGTGTAACCAGCATAGCCATGAATCGCAGGGAAGCCCACTGGCAGCTGCCCTGCCTGACTTTCATTTTGGCAAGAGCTGAGTTTAACTTGGTGAGGTGGGGAGGCTGGGAAGCAGTTCCTGCATTGCCTTCAGGCTGGAGCAGGTGGTCCCTAAAGAGTGCTGATGTCTCACCGTGTCGTGGTCCTGGTCCCCAGGAGCATCCTCCCAGTGGCTGGGGGGCTCTCCCTGCCTGGGAGCAGGCTCTGCCCTCAGTCCCATGAGGCATTCAGCTGCCCCCAAGGCTGCTCTTGGCTTTCGGGGTGGCTGCAGGAAAACATCCACCCAGTGGGTGCTGAGCACTTAGCAGTGCCCCAGGCATGCAGAGCCGTTCTCCTCCCCACATTGCATGCTGCTTCACCGCGGGGGAAACCACAGGAACTGCCCAGTAACTCTGGGGTTTTAACGCCTCACGCAGCCGCGTGTGGCCTCGGGGAGCTGGGGCTAAACCCCTGCACCTCCCTGGAGATGCTGTGCTCGCCCGTGCTGGGTTTTCCCCTCCAGGTGATGAATAAAGAGTGAGGAAAGTCAGTCTCGGGGAACTGCAGGCTCTGCACCCCCGCCCTAGTCCCGCTGCAGCCCAGGGGGAGCGGGGGAAGAGGCTCCTTCCGGAGAAGGAAGCGAAGAGCAGCGACTTCCTTGCCACACTGTGTGGTTTTGCTGGGGAGGGAGGGTGTGTAGTTATGAACCCCCCAAACCCCTTTCCCTGGAGCTGCCCTGGCTCCTGAAGGGCTCTTCTCACAGCCACACCACAGCCCCCCAGGCAGTGCCCAAGCACTGGTGGAGCTGCCCTCCACTTCTTCCAGCTCAAGGTTTGGCTCTGAGCATCCTCATGTGGCCCTGGCTTAATTTTTTAATTTTTTTTTTTTTTCCCCTGCAGAGACCATCCTGACTTTCCTTTCACTCTAGTCCAAAATTCCCCATCTCTCTGTTTTTAAAAGCCAAGGGGGAAAACCAGCCCGAGCTGGTCAAAGGCTGGAGCTGCAAGACAAGCACAGAGAAATCTGAAGCAGGAGAGCACAGCCCAAGCCCAGAGCAGCCCCAGTGAGGGACATCCCATTCCACCCACCCCACCAGCCCCAAGTAAGGGCCACCTCAGGAGAGCAGGGAGGAAAGCATCTGTCCTCATGCCGGGCACCCAGGAAAGCCCCACTGAGCTGCTGGTGTTGGGGATGCTCCGAAGGACAGCGTTAGCTTTGGCTTGCAGGTGCCAGAGGCGATGGAGGGGACGGGGAGCAGAGGTGCCTGCTCTCCTTCCAGCCATGGCCCCCTTGGCTGTTTTCTGTCTCTCTGCTCCAGCTCCCTCACAGGTGACCTGATACACAATTTTAGCAGTTACCAAAGAAGCCTAATTTGTTATAAGCTGACATGGGATACTCCTGAGCCAGCAAAAAGCCTCATGGGAGAATTCAGCTTCACTTCTGAGTATATTCCAGAGAATCAATGCATCTCCCAGATCCCATTTCCTTCCTCTGGAGCACCATTTTATGACAGCTGAGCATAGGAAATACTGGTTGAAATCAATTTTCATTCCTCTGGGAGGACTAAAAGGTGTTGTCATAGTGGAAAAACAGACCATCCAGCTGACCACTCAGAGGGTCAGGGTTTTATTTTGATAGGATTACCACTATCTCCCTTTGGGTGAGTTTGGGGCTGGTGTATCTCTCCTGGACATGCTGAGAGCTCCAGAGTCCACAGCCTTCTGGACACCTGTAGATACAGAGAGGTGACTTGTAACACTTACCTCCAGCCCAGGAAAGCCAGCTACAGGTCTCTGCAGCTTCTGCTAATGAGGCATCCTCAGCCATCCTGTCTTTGGAGCCCCAGGGAGGTACAAGCTCTGGAGCCACCTCCAGCCATCCACCCTGGATGTTACCACTGCTACGTGACTTCTGCACCGCCAGGTCCTCCCCAGCCTCATCACCCTCCTGCTTAGGCTCTGGGCAGCAGCCCCGTGGCTGATAGGGAGGCTTGGTGTGGAGCCACGGGGCAGGAGCCGTCCCACCAGGGCCAGGCACTGTGCTGCTCCTCCCGGCAGGGGCAGGGCTGCCACGGGGGCTGAGACCCACGGTTCACATGCAGCTGAGGAACCAGTTAATTCTCTTGAAGAAGCCGAGTTTCCTGTGAGCCATTTTGCCTTTCACATCACGGGGCAACTTCCCTTCCTGAGCAGCATCTGCGCCAGCTTTCATGCACTGGAGGGAGCCTGCTCTGTTGTGCTCTCCTTATAAGGCATTTCAGTCCTTTTTGCAGAGGGTGTTTACAGCTGCTATGGAGCAAGGAAATGGGCTGCAGCCCACCTGCTGCTGCTTTCCTGTGGGATTGCTGAATGGGCATCATCTGGGTGAGACCCTGTTGAGGGAGCGCTGGTGGGACTCTGGTGGGTTGTCCAAGCACGTCCCCACTGCTGTTTGACCCCATCCTAGTGACAAAGCAGCCCCCTGAGTGCCGTGGTGCCGTGTCCATGTCCGTGCAGAGGGGTTGTAAGAGACTGTCTGCAAGTGGCTGAAGCTGTAGGAGCTGATGGGTGGCTCCGTTCCATCGATGCCGGGTGGGATGTCAGTGGGAATCCACTGTTGCACAGCCCCACCACTCCCAGCCCCTTCTCCTCCCCCAGCCTGAGGAGGCTGCTCGGGTGGTTCTTGGCCATCATCAGCCTGGGGAATTCATGCCTGGGTTTGTTAAATGTACACAGAACTGGAGGCGGACACTGAGAGCACACGAAAACAAACCACTCTTTTCCTGGCAAACATGAGCACATTTCCCTTTCACCGCCCTCTCCTCCCTGGTCTCCCAGCCAAGTGGACCCTCCCTTCCTCCCCATCCATCACTCTCTGCCTCCTTCTCCTCTTCCTCCTGGCTCTAACTCACATTTCAGGGAGGGATGTGACCCCAGGGCATCCTGAGGATGTTCTCCGGTGCTTTCCAGTGGCAGCAGGGCCACAGCTCAGGGAGGGGATCCTCCAGCCGAGCCCCTGGTGCCGGGAGAAGGTCCCTGCAGCTGGCAATGCCAGGGTGCTAGGCCAAGCCTGCTGTGTGCCTTCCTCCTGAGGCTGGCCTTGGGTGGCACTCCACCTCCAGGCATCTCATCAGGGCTGGCTGATCCCAGCCGATGGGTTAAATCCTCATTTCTCTGCTTTCCTGGCAGGCTGGCCTGGATGGAGAAAACATCGGAAACTGCCCCTTCTGCCAGCGCCTCTTCATGGTGCTGTGGCTTAAAGGGGTCAAGTTCAATGTCACCACGGTGGACATGACCAGGTGAGGTGGCATCACAGACCAGCCCTGTGCCAGCAGTGGGGCGTGGCACCTTGGCTCAGCTGCACCCATCAGCACTTTCTTCCTTGCTCCCTGCACGGCAGATAATGTGCCACCATGAGAGGGACAGGGTGACAGGCCCTGCCCACACGCAGCCTGTCGTGCTGTGGGGTGCAGGGGGTGGCAGGCAGGGAACTCCAGCCATGTGCCAACACGTGCTTGGCACAGGGCCCCCCACCCTGCTGGATGCGGGCACGAGTCTGGGGCACCACGGGGCAGAGCGAGAGGCTGGGGGGACACTCCTCAGTCCCCCAGACCCGAGCATGCGAGTGGGGATGCTCCCAGTCCTGCACCCCTCCCCGCACACCCTCCTCAGCCTGCTCCACTCACCCTGGGGAGGCTGGTGGGTGCTCACAGGCTGCAGGCTCTGAGCCCACTTATTTTCTCCACTCCAGGAAACCTGAAGAGTTGAAAGATTTAGCACCAGGCACCAACCCACCCTTCTTGCTATTCAACAAGGAGCTGAAAACAGACTTCATTAAGATCGAGGAGTTCCTGGAGCAGACCCTGTGCCCACCCACGTAACTGCAAGCTTCCTCCTTCCCCTGTTCGGGGCACGCCGCAGCATTGCGCAGCGCTCGCCAGATGGGGAAACTGAGGCAGAATGCACTGAGGGCAGCTTGAGGAGGGGGCTGGCTCCCCACCTAGCACCCTAAGCCGTGCCCTGCAGGGCCAGGGGTTGTGATGCTGAGGGGCTGCATCCCTGGGGAAAGGTGGCAGGTTGGGCTGCAGGGGACAGGATGGGATAGGCTGGAAAATAATAGGAGGAAATGCATCAGTCCCTCAGTGCAGGCAGGGCTGGGGGGAGTGGGGGGAATGTCCCTGCAGGTGAGGGGTCCCCCAGGAGCTGGTGGTTTGCAGCTGGCTGTGGCAGTTGTCAAAGGCAGAGGGGGAATGTGAAAGTCCCTTTGCCTGCTTGTGTCTAGTGCCCTCAG